AGTTAGTTAGTTAGTTAGTTAGTTAGTTAGTTAGTTAGTTAGTTAGTTATTGAATTAAGGTCTGATATACAATAACAGTATATTCAAATGAAAAACAAGTTTAAATTCACACAGTGAATTCCAGTGATGATTTCCAGTGTGCTGGAAAAATAAAATGATATCATATTAGATTATAATAATGTAATTTTTGGGGGGTAAAATCATAATGAGTCAAAAATGACCATATTGAACTCTGAGGGTCAATGCATGCGAGCTAACTGCTGCTCTGCTATCTTAATAATTTTACTTATTCCTCAACTTTACATCCTTAGATTTTGTACAGTGCCCTGAGATGACGTTTGTTGTTTTTTTGCCTCCACCATCGGCCTCCAGCATTTGCAGATATCATCTGCCAGCCCGGACCTTGAATGGGCCAGTCAGGTACTAAATTCCAGGGCCACTTTTTTTTGCCCCAGTCYGCCCCTGTTTATGTGTTTGCTGTTTGGAGACACACGGCAGGTTTTCTTTATATTTCAAATTGGATGCTTATGTTGTTGGAATCCAACCTGCAGCAATTTATTATGTATTTATATATTATACATCTATCTTTATTTCTATCTATCTCTAATCAAAAATAAAAGAGCCAGARGTGAGATTCTGCAGTGTGCAAGCCCTCTTTTCTGTTTTGGCTAAGTGGGCAAATGAATCATGTCAGCTGATGCTGTTTCAAACAACGATTGCGATGAGTCAAAGCAGTCACGTCAGCACAAAGACATTATTAAATCTGCCCTTCTTCACAGCTGATGGCCTTAAAACTGCAAGTTAAGGTCATAATGTGTTGATAAGCACTGCTGCTCCACACAAATTCAATTGTGTTTAGCTGTTTTGTTTTGCTAACTTTAATTTATGATTTAGTTTTGCATAACAACACACATACATAACTCAACAACTCTGTGAATATGCTGCCAACGCCTACACATATACAGTTGTGGTCAAAAGTTTACATACACTTGTAAAGAAACATAATGTTATGGCTGTCTTGAGTTTTCAATAATCTCTACAAC